TTCATAAAATACAGTTGCTGGTTAAAATATTCGGCGACGAAGAATTAGTGGCTGAGCTGGGAAATCAACTCCGCGGTTTAGTGCATTTAAATGATACATTTCTAAATTACCATGGACATTTTCTGTGCTTGGAACATTTCCAGATGGACGCCGAGAAAGCTCGTATATTCGTAGAACACGAGCCAAATAAGGAAGAATGTTTGAAATAGTGAGTTTAATGGCCCTATTATTTATAGCGACTGGAGCCTAGTTGCTGGTCTAGTAGCCATGGGTCCAGTATCGTACTTTGTATTATGTATAGCGCTTAACCTCTGTATACATAAAAGCGCAGACAACATCCGTGTTTACTCATTTGACATGTAGTTGTCCACAAAATAATAGGAGTGCGATATTTCGACCCGTTTAATTTTCTTAAGTCTAGTAGTTTATACAACAAACACCTTATAAATCCATATAAATCTACATTTCAAACTTTCTACAAAAATTGCAAAACTTTGACAACTTAACACCAAAGTTTCAAACTTTTTTATCTTTAGTCTTTAGAAATAATTTTGGTATGGAGTTTTGAAGCCAATTAAATTTTAGTAAAATAAGATGCAAGTTTCAATTTGGTAAAAAATACCGTTGATTTTTGAGAACTTTTTTGGTTGAAAGTGTTTCGCATTTTTTTATACAAAGTACGCTCGAAATTTTTTTTTATGAAAGAAACTGGCAAAAAAAAAATTGGTAAAAATCAACGAAATTTTTCATCAGCTTGAAACTTGAAACTTCATTTTTAAAATTGGATGTATTTTTTAATTTTTACATTGGGCAAAACATTGCTACGTTAATTAGATAATTCTGGTCGAATGTCGAACACAGGATAATAGTAGTTTTTATAATTTTTGTACAAAATTTAAATGTGGATTTATATGGCATTTGTTGTATAACGTGCTAGACTTAAATAAAAAATAATAAACATTAATAATTACCTAAAAGAGCAATAATTAATTTTATTATACGAATTCTTCCTCCTGCTACTTATTACTTTTAGTTGTCTTAATCCGGAAGTACTAGTTACCGTCAAATTAACAACTGACAAGTGTGTGAAAGACAAATCGAACAATTATTTAGAAATACACTACTCGCCCTTGCCAAGCCCTTTTAATTTAAAAGTGCTAGCGTCTGCGGTGTATCCTGGTCATATTTTTGGCATTACATATGGTAATATGGAACCGCCAAGTTTGCCCGAATATTTGCGCAATTTTTGCAGAATACCGGGCAGACCGCGGCTGCCAAAAAAGAGGTGCGCATAAATT